GTCCCGCTCCTGCTGCTGCTGCTGCTGCTGCTGCTGCTGCTGCTGCTGCTGCTGCTGCTGCTGCTCTCAGCAGCATGGACGGGGGCCTTATTTGCTGCAACAGAACCAATCAGGCGATGCAAATTGGCCAACTCTACAGCATCTGTTGCTGCATGCAGCGGCAGCCGGCAGCAGCAAGGCAGCAGCTGCAGCTGCGCCAAGATGCTGCTGCAGCGAAGCAGAGCAGCGTCGACTGCAGCAGCAGCAGCAGCAGCAGCAGCAGCGCACTCCCCCAAGTCCCCGCAGCTGCCGCCGCAGAACGAACATGAGGATGCAACTGAGCCGCCTGCGGCTGCGCTTCCTGCTGCTGCTGCTGCTGCTGCTGCTGTTGCTGCTGCTGCTGCTGCTGGTGTTGCTTTTGTAACAGCTGCTGGTGTTGCTGCTGTGGCAGCAGCTGCTGCTGCAGCAACTAGTGTTCTTTTTGAAGCAGCAGCAGCACGCGCTGGCGCAGCTGCTGCGTCAGCAGCCGTTTCAGTAGCTGCTGCCGCTGCTGCTGCTGCTGCTGCAGTTTCCGATGCTGCTGTAGGTGCTGCAGTTGCTGCTGCTGCTGCTGTTGCTGCTGGCGTTGTTGCTGCTGGTGCGTCACTTGCTGCAGATGCTGCTTTAGAAAGCTTTGCCTCTGCAGCTGCTGCTGCTGGTTCCCTTGCTGCTGCTTCCCCTGCTGCTGCTGCTGCAGCCGCTGCTTCTGCAGCAGCTGCTGCTGCAGCTGCTGCTGCAGCTGGTGCTGCGATTAGCTTGCCTGCATGCGCCACTGCTGCCTGGCTGCTGCTGCTGCCAGTAACAGTTGCAGCAGCATCTGCAGCAGCAACTGCAGCAGCAACTGCAGCAGCACCCGAAGCCTCGCTGCAGCAGCGCTGCATTCAGCAGCAAGTGGTGCTCCTTCCCTCCGCAGCTGAGGGAGGTGTGCTCTTGCTGCTGCAGCGGCAGTTGCTGCTGCAGCTGCTATTCTTGCTGCTGCTGCTGCTGCTGCTGCTGCTGCTGCAGCTGCTGCAGTCACCGTCTTACTGCTTCCGCTTCCCTGGTAGCATCTGCTGCTGCGGCTATTTCTTCCTGCCCTCGCTTAGCAGCCGCTGCGCTTGCTGCTGCTTTGCTGCTGCTGCTTCTGCAGCAGCAGCAGCAGCAGCTGCTGCTGCTGGAAGGCCGGATGCCTTCTAAGTTGAAGCAATGCTTCGTGTGCCGTAGCAGCAGCTGCAGCGGATGCAGCGGCGCGGGCAGTTGGCTGCTGGCTTTGCTGTTGCTGTTGCTGCTGCTGCTGCTGCTGCTGCTGCTGCTGCTGCTGCTGCTGAGGCAACAGGTTGACGCTGTTAGCCCCTGGAGTTCCTTGAGCTAGCTGGAGGCCAGAGTGGCCTTTGAGCTGCTGAGGCTGTTTCCGCTGGTGCAGCCTTCCCTGTTGCTGCTGCTGCTGCTGCTGTTCCTGCTGCTGCTGCTGCTGCTGCTGCTGTTGCTGCTGGCCCCTGCACCGCTGGAGAGATGAGGGGTTGCCGGTGAAGGCCCTGCTTCAGCAGCACGCGCTGTATTGGACACCGCCAGCTCACAGCTGCATGCAGCAGCAGCAGCTGCTGCTGCTGCTGCTGCTGCTGCTGCTGCGCATGCACTTTCTGGGGTGCAGAAGAGCTGTTTGCTACTCTACACGCTAATTCTCAAGGACTATTTGAAGTTTATTATTAATTAATTATTTAATTTATTTCATTTTGCTGCTGCTGTGCTGCTGAGGCTGGCAGCAGAGCCTCTAGGGGGTGTTCCGTGGGGCCCCCCAGGAAGGCTGCTCCCACAGCAGCAGCAGCAGCAGCAGCAGCAGCAGCAGCAACTGCCGCTGCTGCAGCAGAGTCTTAACACACACGCGGCAACAAGCGCCTGGAGCACCATGACGCCGCCCCGCCGTTGCAGCTGCAGCTGCCACAGCAGCAGCAGCAGCAGCAGCAGCAGCAGCAGCAGCAGCAGCAGCAGCAGGGAGGTGACTGTGGGGGGCTTCAAAGGCCTCTCTGCTTCTCTCTGGCCTCTTTGCCCAGATCTGCGTCTCGACCTTTTCTTCTTCGACGAAGTCCAGAATGCGCAGCAGCTGATGGAGCTGCTCGTGCTGCCCCCGAAGCAGCAGCAGCAGCAGCAGCAGCAGCAGCAGCAGCAGCAGCAACAGCAGCAGCAGAGCACGCCTGAAGCAGCGCACAGCGGCAGCAGCGGCACAAGCCAAAGCGCCTCCACCGGCGCCGCCCCCAGCAGCAACAACAGCAGCAGCAGCAACAGCAACAGCAGCAGCAGCAACAGCAGCAGCAGCAGCAGCAGCAGCAGCGTGGCTGGCGCTGCAGTGCAGAGTTTGCTGGCGGGCTCGCCAGCAGCAACAGTGGCCCCGAGAGTGTGGGGCTGCTGCTGCGTGTGGGGCTTTTTGCTGCTGAATGCATGCGCTGTGGTGTCAGTGGAGCAGCTGCAGGTGAGTTTGCTGCGGTGTATGTACACCGCGGCTCGCTGCAGCAGCAAAACCAAAAGCTTCTTCACGGAGTGTCTCCTCGCCCTTTCCGGCGGCAGCAGCATCGCAGCAGCAATTCAAAAAGTGGGCCTTCAGAGCAGCACGCAGCAGCTGCTGCTGCTCTCCTTCACTGACACCAGGGCGCTGCTTTGCTGCTGCTGCAGCAGCAGCAGCAGCAGCAGCGGCAGCAGCAGCAGCAGCAGCAGCAGGTGGAGGCCACTTGTGCCCCTCAACGCGGGCTGCGCGCTCTTCTCCCAGGGAGAGGGCAGGAGGATCATCGACCAGCTGCAGCCAGCAGCAGCAGCAGCAGCAGCAGCAGGGGACGCAGCAGCAGCAGCAGCAGCAGCAGCAGACGAAGAGAAGAGGCAGCAGCTGCTGCTGCTCGTGTTGCAGCAGATCCAGGGGAGGAACGTAGCCCTCGCCAGCGTTCCCCCACACGGCAGCCTAGTCCCTCTGCAGCAGCAGCAGCAGCAACAGCAGCAGCAGCAACAGCAGCAGCAGCAACAGCAGCAGCAGCAACAGCAGCAGCAGCAGCTGTTTGGCATCAGTAGTGCAGAAGCAGAGCTGCCAGGAGGAATCCATGCTGCGGTCCTCTCAAGAGTTGCTGCGCGGCACATTTAGCCAGCAGCAGCAGCAGCAGCAGCTGCTGCTGCTGCAGCTGCTGCTGCAGCAGCAGCTGCTGCTGCTGCTGCAGCAACGGCTGCCAGCTGTGTGTCTGTACACCGCACAGGCCAGCGTGTCTCCTTTTGTCCCCTTCGAACTCGAAATTAATTTTTTGTTTTTTTCTTTTTTTTATTTTGCAAACTTTTAATTTGTTTATTTTCTTTCTTTGCTGCTGCACAGGTTTTGTCTCCTTTGCTGCTGCACTTGTGTCTCCTTTTGCTTCCAAAAAAGATAATCTTTTCTTAGCTACTAAACACCAAGCAGCAGCAGCAGCAGCTGCTGCTGCTGCTGCTGCTGCTGCAGGGCACAACCCAGTTGCTGCTCTTCTCCGCACGGCAGCTCTCTATAAAAACAAAAGCTGCAGCAGCTGCAGCAGTCGCTGCAGCTGCAGCAGCTGCAGCAGCTGCAGCAAGCTTGCAGGCAGCACCTGCTGCTGCTGCAGCTGTTGCCGCAGCTGTTGCTGCAGCTGTTGCTGCAGCTGTTGCTGCAGCTGTTGCCGCAGCAGCTGCAACAGCAACTGCAGCAGCTGCAACTGCAGCAGCAGCTCAAGTAGCAGCAGCAGCTTAACCAGCAGCCACTGCAGTAGCAGCAGCAGCTGAAGGGGCGATAGGTTCCTTTGCTGCTGCTGCAGCTGCTGCTGCTGCTGCTGCTTCAGCTGCAGCAGCAGCTGCAGCAGCAGCAAAGGGGCCTATCGCCGGACCCCTAGAGACTCCTCGAGAAGGTGAAAACCTCGAAGCAGCAAATTCGCGTCCATGCGTCTCTAAACAGCAGCAAAAGAAAAGAGACACAGCAGCAGCTGCTGCTGAAAGGAGACACAAAGGAAGAGACACAGCAGCAGCTGCTGCTGCAGCAGCTGCTGCTGAAAGGAGACACAAAGGAAGAGACACAGCAGCAGCTGCTGCTGCAGCAACTGCTGCTGAAAGGAGACACAAAGGAAGAGACACAGCAGCAGCTGCTGCTGAAAGGAGACACAAAAGCAGCTGCTGCTAGAGGGAGGCACGCCCACACAAACAGTGCAGCAGCAGCAGCAGCAGCAGCTGCTGCTGCTGCTGCTGCAGGGGGAAGAGAGAACATAGAGAAGCAATAGGCAGCACAAACCCTAAACCGTAAACCCTAAACCCTAAACCCTAAATTAAACAAGAGAAAGAGAAATACGGGAAGGTGAAATTCAAATAAAATAAAACAAATAAAACTTTTAAAATAAAACAAATAAAACTTTTGAAATTAAAATAAAAAACTAAAAATGAAAAATGAGAAAACAGCAAACTGAACCAAAAACAAAAGCGGCAGAAATAGAATAAAATAAACAAGCAAATTAACAATAAAACAATTAATTAATTTAATTGATTAAATTAAATTAATTAATTAAATTAATTAAATTAAATTAATTAAATTTTAATGATTTTAATGATTTAAATGATTTAAATGAATTAAAAAGACACAAAAAGGAGACAAAAAGAATAAAAAATGGACTTAAAATGACAAAAAAGAGATAAAAAGAGGTCATATTAGTTCAGCCGGGAGGAAAAAAAGCTGAAAAACGCAAATTTGAAGAATAAAAAGAATATTTAAAGCATTTTAATGATTTAAATGATTTAAATGAATTAAAAAGGGACAAAAAGACACAAAAAGGAGACAAAAAGGATTAAAAAAGGATTAAAAAAGGACTTAAAATGAGAAAAAGGGATGCAAATTAAAAAAGAGAATTAAAAATGATTTAAAAGAGGTAAACCTCAGAAAGAAGAAAATTAAAAAGATGAAAAAATAAAACGAAAAAAGACAAAAGAGATTTAGAATAAAAAAGAAAATAAAAAGAAACAAAAGGAGACAAAAAGAGACAAAAAAGAGACAGTAATGAGGCAATACACGAGACTGGCAGACACAGCAGCAGCAGCAGCAGCAGCAGCACACGCAGCAGCAGCAGCAGCAGCAGCAGCAGCAGCAGCTTACAGGGTGACGCACTGCGGCACCCAGCTGCCGCCATTTTGCTGCTGCAGCGGGGCCCCGCCCTCCGCCTTTGCTGAAACTGCTGTGTTGTTTTGAATGACAATGGAAGGCTGCTGCTGCTGCTGCTGCTGCTGCTGCTGCTGCAGCAGCGCCAAGTCGCTGCGCACGCGCTGCAGCTCCAGCAGCAGCACCCAGTGCGCCCTTGAGTCTGCCTAAGCAGCAGAAGAAGCAAACAATTAATTAATTAATTAATTAATTAATTAATTAATTAATTAATTAACAAACAAGCAGCTGCAGCAAAAGGCAGCAGCAGGAGACAGCAGCAGCAGCAGCAGCAGCAGCAAAGGCCTGGGGGCCAAAAGCAGCAATTTGGATTCTAGAAAGAGACAAAAAAAAGCAAAAGAGAAAAAGACAAAAAGACAAAAAGAAATAAACAACAATAAGAGGAAACAAATGGCATTAAAAGGAAACAAACAACAAAAAATAAATAAAAATAAATAAATAAAAATAAATAAATAAAAATAAATAAATAAAAATAAATAAATAAAAATAAACTCACACTCGCAGCTCCGTAAGGCGCCTCTTGCTGCTGCTGCTGCTGTCCATACACCCCAAGCTGCAGCGGGTACTGCGCCAGCGGCAGCGGGGCCCTGCTGCTGCGGCCTGCTGCTGCTCCCTCAGCAGCAGCAGCAGCAGCAGCAGCAGCAGCAGCAGCAGCAGCAGCACAGGAGTAGCTGCTGGGGGGCCCCTCAGCCTCTCGCCGAAAAGATGACAGCCGCAACAGCCGCTCGAGGCCCCCCCGAACAGCAGCACGGAGGCCCCTTGGGGGCCCCTCTGTGGCAGCAGCAGCAGCAGCAGGAGCAGCAGCAGCAGCAGCAAGAGGCGGCGGAGCCGCAGCAGCAGCTGCAGCGGGAAGTGCTGCAGCGCCAACCAAAGAGGCAGCAGCAGGACCAAAACCTAAAGGCCCTGCTGCAGTGAAAGAAGCAGAGGGCTCTTGTTCTATAGGCAGCCAGCCGCTGCTGCTGCTGCTGCTGCTGCTGGTGCTGCTGCTGCTGCTGTACGTGGTGCTGCTGCTGCTGTGGGTCTCGATCTCCGCTGCTGTGCTGCTGCTGCTTCCTGCTGCAGTTCTGCTGCGGGACAAAGAACTTGTGCGCGAGCTGAGGGGCTGGCCGAAGCCGCTAAACGTCAGCTCTTGCTGCTGCAGCAGCTGCTGCTGCTGCAGTCCTTGCTGCTGCTGCAGCTGCTGCTGCTGCAGTCCTTGCTGCTGCTCCTCCCCCTCGCCTTCCTGCTGCTCCGCTGCGGTCCAATCCGCAGATGCTGCGCTGCTGCTGCCGCCGTTGCCGTTGGCGCTTCTGCCGCTGCTGCCGCTGCTGCTGCCGCTGCTGCTGCCGCTGCTGCTGCTGCTGCTGCTGTCTGCTGCAGCAAGTGGAAGCAGCGCAGCAGGAGGAGTTGAGGGGGGCAGCGGCCCCGAAGGCTCTGGAGTTGAAAGGAGACTCTGCAGCGTTGAAGACTGAGAGCTCAGCAGCAAAGCAGGAGCAGCAGAGAAGGGGCCCCCCAGGCTGCTGCTGCTGCTGCTGCTGCTGCTGCTGCTGCCGCGGCGGCTGGGGGGCCCCTCTGCGGCCTCGGGGGGCCCCTCCCCCACAGGTGACCTCGAAGCTGCTGCTGCCTCCGGGGGGTCTTCGCCGTCGGAGGGGCTGCGCAGCAGGAGTTCGCTCATCGTGCAGCTGCTGCTGCAGCGGCTGCTGCTGCTGCTGCTGCCCGTGCTGCTGCCGCCGGCCCCGCTGCTGCTGCTGCCGCCGCAGGTGCTGCGCTGCTGCTGCTGCTGCTGCTGCTGCTGCACACGCCGCGTCTCCCCGTGGTTGACTCGCCAACAAGAGCTGCAGACTCTGGGAGAGTCCGCAGCCGCTTCTCGAGCTATCCTTCCCACAAGCCCCGCAGCAGCAGCAGCAGCAGCAGCAGCAGCAGCAGCAGGCTGGGGGGGCTGCCGACGGGGGACGAAGGGAATGCCCCGAGAGCAGCAGCAAAAGGAAAAGAAAAAGAAGCAGCAAAAACTCAAATGGCCGCAGCAGCAGCAAGAAGACGCGGAGAGAGCTGCGGGAGGGGCCCCAGAGTGAGGGAGGCGCAGCAGCAGGAATCTTTTGCTGCAGTGCTTTGATTTTTAAAATTCTTTTTTGGGAATTCAATTAAACAAGATAAAACCTTCTTTGCTGCCACAAGGGCTTCCTGCTGCTGCTGCTGGCTGCCCGCTGCTGCTGCTGCTGCTGCTGCTGCCAGCGCAGCATGCACCGCCGTCGCAGTCTGCGGCTGAAGGGGCTCTTTGGCAGCAAATTGCAATGAAAATGGTTTATTTTCAAAATAAATAAAAACTAAATATGTTTTTTGAGATAAAACGCCGAAATGTGCAAAGATCGGCGGCTGTTGGCGGCGGTTTTGTTCAAATTGGCGCTCTTTTGCAAAATCCGCAAAGACGCGCTGCACTGGGGGCTGCTCGCGGGCCGGAGGCGCTAAAAAGGGAAAATAATTATATTTTTATAATTAATTTTAAATAACAATTCGAAAAATGCGCGAAAAGGGCCTTTTAAGAGCTGTTCGGGCTGCAGCAGCAGCTGCTGCTGCTGCTGCCGCTGCAGCGCCGCCGGCGAAAGCCCCCAGGGTCACTTCTGCTGCTCCTTTTGCTGCTGCCCAGCAGCACAGCAGCAGCAGCAGGCGGCTGGCTGCGGGGAGAGCAGCAGCAGCAGCTGTGCTGCAGCACAAAGGCTGCAGCAGCCAATAGTTGCCTGCAGCCCCACTGTCTTCTATGGGAAAGAAGCTGCTGCTGCAGCTGCGAGCTGCTGCAGCAGCTGCCGAGTTGCTGCTGCAGCGCAAAGTCGGAAGCTAGCTGCTGCAGTAGCTGCTGCAGCAGCTAGCTGCTGCTGCAGCAGCTGCTGCAGCAGCTGGCGAGTTGGCCCGCGCTGCAGCTGCAGCCAAGTCTAGGAGTGATGGATTCCACACTTCATTCTTCTGTTATATTTTAATTTGTAGTTTTGTTTTTATATTCCTTTATTATTATTGAGGGTCTATTTAATATATAAATATATATATAAATATATTATAAATAAATATATATATAAATATATATATAAATATATATATATATATATGTATATGAGTAGCTCTACTAAAGATATATAAAAGTATAGCAAACAAATATATATATATATTTATTATTTATTTATTTATTTATTTGTTTATTTATTTGTTTATAGTTGTAAAAGTGTCTGAATATCTGAAGAGTGTGGCGGTCAGCTTGCAGCGTTGAGGTGTACGTACACCTCAACTCTGCGCTGCTGCTGCTGCGGCTTACCTGCGGTGTACGTACACCCGAGAGAGTGTAAGAGGGTTTTAGTGGATTTTTGCAAAATAGGAGCAGCAAAGTGAACTTCTTTTTTTGAAATTAAACTTAACCTGCTGCTGCTGCTTCTATTTGCTGAAGTGGGGTTAAGTGAATTAAATTTTATTTAATTTCATTTTCTATTTTTGAATCCAAAGACAACGCAGTGGCCCCGAGCTGCTATTCTAGCTGAAGTGCTTTGCTGCTGCAGCGCAGCAGTGCAGCAGCAGCTTGCTGCAGCAGCAAATGCGATTTTCTTTTCTGCTGCTGCTGCTTTGCAGCGTCGGTGTACGTACACCGCTGTTGCGGTGTACGTACACCCCAAGTGTGCTCTGCTGCAAGGCCTCATTTTGCTGAAACTCTTTAATGGAGTTTTTCGGATTTGAAGAAACATTTGCAAAATAAATGCCATTTAAGGGGCCTTTTGCATTTCTGCTGCCCCGCTGCTGCTCCTTTCTGTGCTGCTGCAGCTCGTATTCAGTTGTGCTGCGCTGCTGCTGCGCTGCTGCTGCGCTGCTGCTGCGCTGCTGCTGCGCTGCTGCGCCGCTCCTCTTGCTGCAGAAGCCGCTGCTGGTGGCTTCGCAGGATTTCGGAGTTGCTGCTGCTGCTGCTGCTGCTGCTGCTGCAGTTTGTCGGGAAAGCCCTTGGGCGGGAGCCGCTGCGACTCAGCAGCAAAGTGGAATTGCTGCCATTGCAGCATTAATGGCAAAGTTGCTGCGGGCGGAGGCGCAGCAGCAGCAGCAGCAAAGACAAGGAGGCCTGGGCAGTGTGGGGGCTGCTGCAGCAGGCGGGCGGGGGCGTCGGGAGCTGCTTTTTTGGGATTTTGAAGTGTACTTACACTGGAAAATGTGATTTAAAAGGAAAAGTTGGTCGAAGTTGCGAAAAAGAAAAGCAAAAAGTGGAAAGAGTCGATCGCGGGCTGAGTCGCTCAGCCAGTGGTCTGCTGCTGACTTGCAAAGGCGCAGCAGGGGGCTCTGGCGAGTTGCACACTGGCTACACATTTGTTTTCTTTTTCGCTTTTTTCCTTCGAAATAAAGGAAATAAATGCGGAGTTTTTGGCCTTTTAAAGGGGCTGTTGGGGCGCGGGAAGTCGCGGAATCGCGGGAGGAATCGGGATGTTGAATGGGTGCTGCTGCGGTTCCTCCAGCTGGTTTCGACTCCGTAGATCTCGCGGAGGCTCTTTTTCGAGTTCGAGGCTGTTGTCTTTCGAAAAAAAATGAAATTCTCTTGACTTTCGAGACGCGGATCCTTCCGTGTTTCTGGAAACTGAAGAAGAAGTGGCGCGCCAGCTTGCGCGCCACTTCCTCGAGGTGTCTGTACACCCGAGTCGCTTTCGCGCTTTCCCGCGTCGCGCCTTCGCCTCGCCTTCACTAAACATCTTTTGCCTTTCTCGCCGGCGACAAGTGGCTTTTTTACTGTTTTTCATCTCAAGTGGCGCTGCTGCGCTGCGCAGCAGCTCGGATTCCAGCAACGCGGGTCACTGCGCTGCTTCCGACTTCTCCGTTTTTTGCAACTGCCTTTCCGCGCTGAGTCCTTCTCCTCCGCCCTAGACGCAAAGACACAGTTGCCTGCAAGCCGAAGCCCCCGGCCGCCCTCCGCGTCGGCAGCAGCAGCAGCAGCAGCAGCGGGAGCCGACAGCAGCAGCAGCCCCGGGGAGCCGACAGCAGCGGCAGCAGCAGCAGCAGCAGCAGCAGCAGCAGCGGCGCGCGGGTGTTTGCTGGCCTGCTGCTGCAGCTCCGCGCCTCCCTCGAGCTCCCGGAAGCCCCTCCGTCTCTGAAACTTCTTTTGTTTCTTTTGCTTCTTTTGAGATCTCCGAAGTTCCCAAGTGTCTTCGAAATAATTTTTTTCTTTTCAAAATGCCTCTGGGGCTGCTGGCGGACGCGGAGGTCCAGTCGGCTCCTCCGGAGCTGTTCCATTTGCGGCGCGAAGTGGCCGAGGGGGCCAGCAGCAGCAGCAGCAGCAGCAGCAGCAGCAGCAGCAGCAGCAGCAGGAAGGATAGGGAGTTCATAGAGGCAGCAGCTGCGGTGCTGCAGCAAGACCACGAGGCCGCTTGTCTGTCATTCTGAGTCGCTGCTGGCTGCTCCTGCTGCTGCGCCTTGCTGCTGCTGCTGCTGCGCCTTGCTGCTGCTGCTGCTGCTGCTGCTGCTGCTGCTGCTGGAGTGTGCTGCTGCTGGGGGCGAAGCTGGAAGGTTTGTGGGTTTGTTGGGCGTTGTGTGTGCAGTCACAGCTCGTTACCGGGAGGCGTCTTGGGGTCCTTTGGCGCCGACTGTGGGGTCTGCGGAGTTTGCTGCTGCTGCTGCTGCTGCTGCTGCT